GGGCTCCCCACCTTCAGTCACATCATGGCCGCCCGCAAGGCGATTGACAGTTACATCTACGAGACCCCCCTTATCCTCAGCGTCAGCCTGAGCAAGCGCACCGGGCACCACAAGATTCTTCTGAAGTGCGAGAACCTACAACGGACCGGGAGCTACCACTACCGCGGCTTCATCCACTCGGTGGTCCGAGCCAAGGCGCGGGATCTCTCCGTGACGAACTTCATCACCTATTCCGTGGCGAACGGAGGGCGGGCGCTGGCCTGCGCCGCCGAGGACTTCCAGAGCGCCGCCCGCGTCGTTGCCCCCGGGCCGACCCACCCTCTCGTCGCGAGCGGGATTCGCTACCACGGGGGGGTGCTTTACCCCTGTGGCCCCACCCCACACGCGCGGGACGCCAGGCTTGCCGAACTCGCGCAAACTTTCCAGGCCAACCCCCGCGGACGCGCCGTGGTGGTGGACCCGTACCACGACCCCGACCTCCTCGCGGGGTTCGGCACCGTCGGGATCGAGCTGATGCTCCAGACCGACTGCGAGGTGGACTGCGTGGTGGCCCCGCTGGGCGGGGGGGCGCTGATTAACAGCCTCGCCGTCGCCCTCCGCGGGATGAAGCCGAACGTCGCCGTCTTCGGCGCCATCTCCGACTTCGTCAACGAGTCCGACATGTCCCTCCGCTACGTCGAGATGAAGACGGAGGGAAAGGAGGCGGAAAAGCCGGAGGCCGCGCCTTCTTCCTCAAACCCTTCCATCCTCGAAAGGAAGGTCACGAAGTGGAATGCGAAACACATGAAGAAGCTCGTAAACGGGGTCTTGCAGGTCACGGAGGAGGATGTGCGATATGCGTTTCGATACGTCTACGAACGCTGCAAGCTCGTGATCGACCTCAAGGCGGCAACCGCGGTGGCGGCCGTCCTCGCGAATCCGAAGGAATTACGACGCTATCAATGCGTCGCGGTGGTTTTGTCGGGCGGAAATGTCGATTTAAAGTGCATCCCTGATCTTATGAGCTCGGCTCTATAACTATAGGTAGCGAAGGAGAAAAAAAAATACTGCCGAGTGAAGTTGAAGGAGAGGAGAGATTAAAAGGATTATATAACATACAATTTGAGCTTTAATGGAATTGCACAAGGATGTCAATATTCCTTTCTAAATGAGGAAACAAACAATTCCTTTTTTTAACCGAAAATACTGATCTAAATCCAGATCTACATCTATATAGTTGTGAGTAGAAACTATCTTAAAATTAAAAGAAAATATATTAAAGAAAATGTCTTTTTGGGTGTAATAAAATTAGGATATATGTATCATTGGTGATTCAATTCTTCTCAATAGTTTTTGTTTATTGACAAAACGAAAGCTAAACCTTATTATCCTGTCTTCATGATATATGCAAAATCCTACCAGGTATTTTTGAAACTAACTATAATTAATACTAACGAAAAGGATAATACATGTCTACCTTGTTATTTCATAAGCATTTCTGTGTCGCACCTATTTCTGTTTCTAAGCTTTTACACTTTAATTGGCTAACCAAAAGGTCATTCATACACGTTAATGTTTTGCAATACAACAATACGTAAAAAGGTACATGATCTAATGAAAATACTAGTAGTACAAATAAATGAAAAAAATTGATCCCAAATTGTCTTTACATTTTTTATTGATTCTCAATATTTTTGCGTTAGGGCAAGAGACCTCTTATGGAAGTATATATATATATATATAAACATTTGTGATTCTGAAATAAATAAATGAATCAACATAGATACTTCCTTCTTTTTTTTTTATCATCACTGCAATGGTATGTATGGACTATATTGTATGTGAAGCCTTTCCGGCATAACTTAGTTAAATTTTTGGTTATGATTATTATAACAATTTCATTTTTTTTAATTATTTATGATACTTATAAACTTTTGCATGTATTGAGAACAATTGCTTTTAAATGGTGCCCATCTTTAGTTGTTCCATTCCTCTGTCCATCCAATCCTAACGGATCAAGTAAAGAGAGAGAGGGAGAGAGGAAAGGAGAGGAAGAGGGACATTCCTAATACCTATTGATTCTTTTACATTCTATTTTAGACATTTTTTTTTTTGTAAAGCCCTCATCAGATTCACCCCCTCTTAGACCATAAAAGTATTTCATTCCAAATACAAAAATACAAATATGTCTTTCACAACCAAGGGCCAATTTCCACCTCATTCTAATTTTTCCACTTCAAATCGAAAGCAATCGACACGTTCCGCATGGCCCGAGCTTCCAGGGCTTTCCAAAGCATCTTTGATGAGTTATTCATTCCCAACCCCAGATAAGGAGGATTTAACGCATACCGAGCGCCCTGACTCTTCCGTTTCCCATTCCTACACGCCGTCATCATCGATATGGACCTCATCTTCGTCGGAGGATCAAAGCAGCCGCCGTAATATCACGCAGCGCGCCAGTATTATTCAAAAGGAAGGTCAATCTCAGCCGGATCACAACTTAAAACATTATGATGGGGTGAACTTCGGAAACCAATCCCCGCGAGCGAAGCAACCGGTTATGGTTAAACCACTAATGGACCAAAGCGCCGAGGTTTCCCCTTCGATTGCGCCGCCGAAGCCTCATTTAGCCCCTCCTTTAACGACAATTGATAATAAGGAAGGCTCCAAGACGAGTTTTCCCCCAAATCATCCAGCGCAAAAAAAAGATGAAAGAGTAGATCACAAGATGATGATGAAAAGATCAGAACTTCATCAAAATGAAGGAAATGCGCGTTATGACGACAAGACCATGCTACCAGGGCGCTATCCAACTTCTTACACGTACGAAATACGGGATAACGAGAGCGTCTTTGCCGTGGTATCACTCCCATCGTCCTCCGATAGCCATACGCATGATCGTATTCCTCATCGTTTTATTAACCCGAACACGTTGGAAGCGGCTCCACCATCGCGGAGTGGTAAAATCCCTTCCGCGGAGGGAATCGCGGCCTGGGTGGATCACTCAAAATCACCACAGCGGGTTTTACCCTCGCGGACCGGCACCCTTAAACCCTCCTTGGGGGATTTTCGCGCACGAGAAATTGACAGTCATCGGAAAATTCATCTGCAGATGATCGAAAGGACGGATCGCGCCTGCATTCGAGGGGACCGCCAGGGGCTTTCGTCCCTGGCGTCTTCGTCTTGCGCGAGTGCTTCATGGGTGAGTTGTTGTAGTTGCTGTTGTGGGTGCTCGTGTTCGTGCTCGACCTGCAGTTGCGCCTCCTGCGGCTATTCCACCTCGGAAAGCGTCGAAAGCTCGCTCTTGTCGTCGTCCTCGTGCAAACTGACGACTCGCCCGCGTGAACCGACGAAGCGATGGACGCCCGAACTCCGCGATCTTCCCTTCGTCCCGCAGCTGCTTTCGCTGCCCTCGCTTTTCGACCAGGCGAGGCCGGCGGAGGCGCCCGGCGAAGCGCCCAGGCCGGCCTTGGACGCGGACGAGGCGGCGGCGACGGCGGCGCAGACGGTTGGGAAGGCTGAATGCCGTCCGAGAAACTTCACAAACGCGGCAACCCAAACCCACCGGGAGGAGCCCAGCCCCACAATCCCGCAGGCAGGCGCGGCGATTCAACCCGTTGTTAAAGACGCGGCCACCCAAACCCAGAGGGAAACCGCGGCGATGCCAACCCCCGTGAAAGGCGCGGCCACCCAAACCCCCACGGCGGAGCCGAGGCCCACAATCCCGCTGGAACATGCGGCCACCCAAACCTCCAGCGACGAGGGCGGAGCGCAGCCCCCGGTGGAGGCCCTCGCGGGGCATCCCGGCGGGGAAAGGAGGGAAAAGGAGAGCGAAAAGGAGGAAAAGAGGGGGAAAAGGAA